TTGTTTGGGTCTTTGTTTTAAGTTACTTTAGTAACCTATAGCATTTGTGAATATAATGTATATATATATATATATATATGGAACTATATATATGGAAAGGTGGTTTGGTCATGTAGAAAGAATGAATGAGGAAAGAGTGAATGGCCGAGTCGGGAAGGGACGCCCTAGAAAAAAGTTTATCGACCACATTGGCGATATTTTGAAAATGGGCCACGTTAGATGTACCCTTAACCGACGAGCATATATGCGTAGATATATGGATGTAAAGGAGGCGAAAGAGGTACGTCAGGATCGTGCCAAATGGAAGTCCGTAGTCTCTGCCTACCCCTCTGGGTGACAGGCGTGAGTGTTTATATATATATATATATATATATATATATATATATATATATAAATATATATATATATATATATATGGAACTATATATATGGAAAGGTGGTTTGGTCATGTAGAAAGAATGAATGAGGAAAGAGTGAATGGCCGAGTCGGGAAGGGACGCCCTAGAAAAAAGTTTATCGACCAAATTGGCGATATTTTGAAAATGGGCCACGTTAGATGTACCCTTAACCGACGAGCATATATGCGTAGATATATGGATGTAAAGGAGGCGAAAGAGGTACGTCAGGATCGTGCCAAATGGAAGTCCGTAGTCTCTGCCTACCCCTCTGGGTGACAGGCGTGAGTGTTTATATATATATATATATATATATATATATATATATATATATATATATATATATATATATATATATATCGGGTGTCCCAGAAGTCGACGTCAAGCCGAAACTTTCTGATAGTCTACTACTTACACTAGTATGGCCTCGCCTATCAGAAATTTTCGGCTTGACCTTACCAGAAAAAGTAAAAAAAATCTAAGTCATGTATTTCATAAGTTATAGTAATTTTTTTTTTCGAACAAATGTACACCATGAGACAGTTTTTTTCTCTTACGTCATCCTGAATAGTGCTTCTGTAACCTGTAATCCTAAACCCTGTGCCGATCACTCCAGCTTGTAAGAAAATGTAATTTTATACCGAACCAAGTTTTCAGAATTAGTTTTTGGCGCTACTTCAACTGACCGTCGTGGAAAAAAATTGTACTAAGCCAGTTTGGCAAGTAGCTTTAAAAGTTAGCGCATTTAATAAGGATTCTACCATGCTCGTATTTTTCCATTTAGGAACAACACAATAATGATATAGATAATAACTCATTATTAAACATTAAAAAGTATATTATTCCTTTGCAAAATCGGCAGAATCGACGACTGTGATGTCACGAGTTGAACAACATGGCGGCTAGCGTTTTCACGCGAAAATTTAAAACAATAGATTAAAAGTAATTTTTTGGAATAAAACACATAAATTAGTAATTAGAGAGTACTTTCAGTAAGATACGAGTCAATGGCCCCGTTTCATATTTATTGTCACGAACCTCAAGCTCGTAACAATTGGTGTCAGAAGTGGGATAAAATCATGCCGATTTTACCTAAGGAGGAAACGGAGGGTGTCCTTACCCGAAGTCAACGCCAGCAGGAGACGGCGTTGACTTCGGGTCACCAAAGAAGATTTGGTGGTGCAACGCCGCAGACGTCGGAGGGCCAGCCGCCGGCTGCGGGCCCGTCAGTAGCTCCTACATCTGCAGCACCTGACTTAGGTGCTCTGATGGTGATGCTGCAGGAGCAGGCTCGCCGACAGGAGGAACAGGTCCGTCAGTTGAAGGAGCAGCTGCAGAGCGGACAAGAGGAACAGGTCCGTCGATTGGAAGAGCAGCTGCGGGGCGGACAAGAGGAACAGGTCCGTCGTTTGGAAGAGCAGCTGCGGGACGGACAGGAGGAACAGGCCCGTCGGTTGGAAGAGCAGATGCTCCTCATGAAGGATCTTCACGCTACCTTCGGGAAGGAGATCAAGGAGGTGAAGGACAGGGTTGCTCAGCATAACAACCGCCTGTCAGAAGCTGAAACCAAAATCGCGAAAGCTGAAACCCGAATCGAGAAAGCTGAAACCCGAATCGACCAAGTAAACAATCGGGTTAACAACGTAATGGCTGACATGAAGAAATCACTGGACGAACTCAAACTTGGAGATGGAGCTACAGCTCCCGTAGTAGCTACAACACCTTCGCTACGTGGGTTCAAGGTGCCACCGTTCGACGGTACCTCTTCCTGGTCAGCCTACAAAATCCAGTTCGAGGCTGTTATGAAGGCGAACGGCTGGAATAAAAGTCAGGGCATGACTGCTCTCACACTAGGCCTGCGCGACCAGGCCTTAACAGTTCTGGAGGCTCTCGGTGAGGAAGTGACTTATGAGCAACTCCTTGAGGCGTTGGAGGCGAAATATGGCGACGCTCACCTGGAACACGTCTTTCGTGCGCAGCTTAAAGATCGCGTGCAGCGCATCAACGAAAACCTGCAGCAGTGGGCTCTAGAGGTGGAGAAGCTGGTGCGAAAAGCATACCGGTCTGTACCTGCGCTCATTGAAGGGAACCTGGTGCAGACATTCATCGACGGCATCCGCGACCTGGAAGTCAGAGCTGCTGTGAGGCTCGGGCACCACGAGACGCTTAAGGACGCCTTGGCCCATGCACTGGAGGTGGAAGCCGTGCGGCAGGACCATCGTTCCCATCGCGTCAGGGAGGTTGCAGCAGCTACAGTTCGCGACCGCAACAAACGATACAGCCCTAGGTGCTATGGCTGTGGGGAAAGGGGCCATCTTCGGTCCAGCTGCCCTAAGCGAAGCGCAGAAAGGGAAAGTGAACGATATCAGGAGGGTAGTGCAGCTAACGGCACTGCCTGGCGGCGACAGGATCGTCGTTCACCTTACGCTAGGGAGGTTGCAGCAGTTACGGTTCGCGACTACAATAAAGGATACAGCCCTAGGTGCTATGGCTGTGGGGAAAGGGGCCATCTTCGGTCCAGCTGCCCTAAGCACACCCTAGGAAGGGAAGGTGAACGGTCTCAGAAAGGAAGTGCGGCTAAAAGCACCGCCCAGCAGCAGCAGGAATACGACTTTACTATCAGACACTGCAGCGGGAAATCTCACGGCAACGCAGATGCATTGTCAAGAAGACCTTTTCCTGAAGATTGCAACCATTGTAGTAGGCAAGAGAGTAAGGAAGTGGTATCCGTGAGGATGCTCAGGACAGACCACCTCAGCAACGGGTGGAAGGACAGCCTACGACATGCACAGCAGGAAGATCCGGACATCAAGCCGATTCTGGCAGAGATGAAGGCCCGGGCTACCAAGCCTAAGTGGAGGGACGTCTCAGCGATGAGTTCAACCACGAAAAGCTATTGGGCCCAATGGGACAGCTTGCTGATTCAGGATGGAGTCCTGTGCCGTAAATGGGACAATGGTCGAGGAGACAGCTGTCGTTTGCAAATGGTTGTCCCTAAAGCTAAAGTGCCGAATGTTCTACAGCTGTGCCATAATGGTCGTTCAAGAGTCCATCTGGGAGTTAAACGAACTCTACTGAAGGTCCGAGAACAGTTTTTCTGGGTCCATTATCGTGACGATGTCGAGGATTGGTGTCGTGCATGTACAAGTTGTGTGGCCATGAAGGGACCTCAGACACGTAGTAGAGGAGCATCGAAATTGTGCAATGTTGGTGCACCATGGGATAGGACAGCCCTAGACATTGCGGAGCCGTTACAGAAAGGCGCAAGAGGGACTCCTAAGATCGCCCATGTGGATCGCCTGGCGCGTTATTATGGGGCCGATAATGCTCGGGACGAGCATGTCTTAGGAGGGGGCAGTATTACGCGCTCAAGTCGACGGCACTAGCACCATCTAGTCTCGAACCGAAGAACTAAACTTCTTGAAGTTGAAATACGAACTCTCGGTACCTTGCGCGTGTTTACTTGAATACTCTGTATATTTAGCTGCTAATTTATATAAATAGGCGCTGCAAGATGCGATCAGGGAAGTATTGAAGTTGGCGAGACAAGCGAAGCTTCGGAGCGGAATAAAGTGAATCAGTGTGATTAATTATTAGTGTTTTTAACTTTAATTAGTGTAAAGTGGATTAAAGTGTTAATTTAGGTAATTCTATCGGCAATTTTTATTGTCACGAACCTCAAGCTCGTAACAATATTCATAAGTCTGTTCTCGTATATTTGTATTTAATATTATATTATTAGCAGCAGACGGTCTTTATAGAGGGGAGGGAGGGAACTGTTACCGTTACTATTACACTCATAGAATACTATAATACACAATAGAATGGCTGTCAACCTTATTTTGTACGACCATAGGCGTCGCCGGGAGCAGACATACAAGCATTCACTGTGTTGACAGACAGATTTTAACACGTATTTATTTGTAAATAGCGTGCAATTTGGCATTTTCTAAATAATTTGGATGCGAAATTTGGAAACGATTGTAATGTCAAAATACATCTCGTGTTGACTATGTATGTAATTATGTATGTAATTATAGTATTCTATGGTTACACTGTTTAATTGCCTAACATAGGCCTCCGCCATAGATAGCTTAATACTTTTACCATAGTTGCCACACAAGACAAGCGGATTGGCAACCGCAGTTTAATATTTTTTGTGGATATGAGGAAGACATTGCTGCACATCTCATAGTTCGTTTCTCTGTGTCACCTCTTATACGCCACTCCACCCATGGACGATAGGAGTGGTGGCTATTCTTACACAGCCACTACACTGTATTCTCGCTACACGATTTACGCTCTCTGCTACAGCAATCCTTTCATAATCCTAGTTACAGCATCATGCCAACTAACTTCTCTCTTATTCCTATTAGATAATAGTTTTAGAGTTATAAACTGGTTGAAAGTAGCTCAAAAGAGTTCGTGTAAATATACATGCCTTGGTCCGATCGTTAGATTTTGGCAGATTATATCATACACACGCTCTATTGTTTTTCGAACTTGGTTGACGCACTGCCGTGTGTTCAGATACACAATTGAACGTCGTATAGATTACAAATGATATATTGTTTTTGCTAGTTCATTTTCTTTAATTATTTTTAGCGAAAACTGCTGCTGTTTCCCGAAGGGACTCGACATTTGGGGGACAAGCTTTTACCATTCCGAAAAGGCGCCTTCCACGTTGCGATGGACGCGCGGGCCCCTATCCAGCCTATCGTTGTTTCGAAATATCATTTCTTGGATGCAGACCAACCTCGTTTTGGATCCGGTAAGCATTGTTTAGATTTTTAAAAGAGTAATAATGTTAAAATAAATATAATTATGAGCCTTACTTCTGGGAGATATAATAGGAATTGAGGAGGAATAGGAAGCCTATTTCGGTAAACAAATATTTGGACCCGTAAGTAGCTGATTCGTACACCACGGAGCATACAGCACGGATTGGGTAAGTTAAGCTCACACGATATTTAAATAAAATAAAGAAAGACGGAAATGTTACCAATATTATTAAATATATAACCGCCAGACTTCCTATTCAATATTCATAATTGAAAAACAAATTTACTAGCTACTGTATCTTTATACTTAAAAACCGAATCCATACATTCTTTGCCGTATCAGATTTCAAACATAAGTATTACTATTATAGAACAATTAAGTGGGTACTTACATATTTAATTATGTACATTCATAATCAATCAAAGAAAAAGTTATCGCTAAGGCGAAGGTTTAATTCGGTTGTGAAGTGATCGCCGGGGTAACATAATACTTGATTACACTTACTCGGTATGAAACAACTATTGACTTGACTTCAGTGCCATCATATTTTTTAAGGACCACGCTCTCACAGAATACCAACCGTGAAATAGTAGCTTAATGCTGCTGTATTTCGTATAGTGAGTGTAGAGAACCGGAGACCCTTTTTACTGGAAACGAGGCATTCCATCTCCTCACGGGTGACAACGCATCTGCATTTTGATTTTTAATGGAGGATAGAGGTAGATGTCTATGGGCCGCAGCAACCACTTACCATCATGTGGACTGTGTGCTCGTTTGTCACCCTATTCTATAAAAAAAAATAAGTAGAAAAAGTACGTAGCGTATTTTTCCATCTTGGAAGTTTGCCTATAAAAAGTTATTTTTTTTACCCTTTTTAGTCGACGAAGGAATTTCACAACCTCAATGTCGTCTAAGTAGTTACAATAAAAATATTTTACTACCTATTTTACCCCCTAAAAAAGACAAAACGTGCCTTCTTCTTCGGGACAAGCGAACGTTGCAATTCACACATTGCAAACTCGACATTTTAATTAAAGCACGAACGCACACAGCACAGTTAATATAGCGTCCTTTCGATCATCGATATCAAGCGATAGAGTACAAAGGAGCAGATGCTCAACTCAACTATGGAGTGTAGAAGTAAGGAGCACCAACTCCCATACAATAACAGTTCAAAAACCGTTCAAAAACTCTCCACAATATAAGTATGATAAAATGAACTTAGCAATTGTCGACGGTTTGAAGTGTGCTGCTAAACTGCTCAGTAGCTCTAAAATCTAAAATAATTTCATTTAGTAAATATATCCTCAAAAAAGTCGTCTATCCCACTAATATTTTTCGCACGTTCTTTAAAATTAAGCCCGTAGCTATAGTGGCGCCACCCTTATTTAATGGTTTTCATGGACACTTTATATTACACAGTCTGTGCTCCTTACTTCTACACTCCATAAAATCAACGTAAAAACACACAATCCAAAACAACATTGAAAGACAGATTTTCTTTACCTTTCAAATATCAGTAAATGCCATATGAATAAAAAAATTGATGACTAAAATCATTCCTATCATTAAATCGTTAAACATTATGATTTTATACAACAATTAATGCATTCTTAGATATAATATGTAAGTGTTTAATTATATATATATATTGTTATTTCTATTTCTATATTATACCATTTCTCATTTCTGTTATATTACATATGGCAACTTCTAATAACATAATTGCGTTTAGTTTATGAATAAATTACGTTTATTCCTTAAAATCTTTTTATTGATGTTATTAATTACTTCCAAGTTGTAAAAATATAAAATTTACACGGAAATTAATGGCTTAGTTGTCTTAATATATGGTACAAATCCTAAACAAAACAACAAAATAGCATGCGGTACAGTACTAAATCTGCCATTCCCCTTTATATATGCATATATGTATATGTACATGTATATACATATACTAATTATCTACAAATATTTAAATTTACTATCGGCTTCCTTCCATAATTTGTTATTATTCACCCGAAAATTCACAAAACATGAACTTTGAAATAAATTTACAATTTTATTCACTTTAAACGTAGAATATTCAATTTATTGAACAAAATATTAATTCACAAAATTGTTCAAAGCGAAATAAAATTACGAAAAATAACCGGCTATGAGAGAAAGAGGGAAAGAAAATGTGCGCGCACACTGCTCTCTCTTGCTTATATCCCTCACTCAACTCCCGTTCGCCTCGCGCGATCACATTTTCATAACGATTTCGTCACGCGTTCGCCAGCTTACTCCCCAAGTCAAGCGTGCGTAAAGGAGTTTTACTTCAAAAAAGGAATCATGAAAATCATTTTAAAATTGACGCAGATATCACATACAAAAAAGTGTACAGTTAAATTGTAATACTCCCTACTGAAGTCGGCTAAAAGTCTTTAAGTATCACATAATGAAGAGGATAAAGTTACCGTCACAGCTAATTAAAGTCCACTGCTGAACATAGGTCTCTGTCATAGATTTGCCTCATAGGGGATATATTTGCAATAGTTGACACGCTTGGCAAGTGGGTTGGCAACCACAGTTTTATTTTCGTTACTAAGAAGGCGCTGCTGCCAATCTCCTGATTTGTTTCCCTTTGTCGCCTCTTCTACACCCACGGGATGTTAAGAGATGGTGGATATTCTTATGCCGTGTATACCGTCACTACACGGTACCAGGATAAAATAAATAAGGGTAAATTTTTAAGGAATTAAGTTTAAACTGCAATGTCTTAACGTCATAATAATATTTACATGCTACGCAGATAAACAATGACCGCTGGGTTATCGAAACAAACAACAGAATAATTGATACGTATATCGAAACTAATGTCATTAATTAAAACCATCAAAGATATCAACTAAATAGTGTACACAAGGGGATTAAGAACAGACAAAATCTTTCTTTTCTAATTGCCTTCGAATGTACGTAACGCTGTTGGTCATGCGCCTGACCTCTCTCGGATAGTGTCGGATTGTCGTCTCGTCGGACTATGAGATTTCGGAAATAAAGTTAGTTCGTAAATAAGTTTAGTTGAATGGGCCACAGCAAATACTTTTTTTTATAAAAGAGGGGGCAAACGAGCATGCGGCTCACCTGATGTTAAGTGACTAGCGCCGCCCATTATCAACCGCAACACCAGGGGAATTGCAGGTGCGTTGCCGGCCCTAAAGTAAGCTCATTCCTATTTTGAACTTCCAAATAATTCAATACCAGTTATTGTATTGTTGGAAAAACTTCTGTCCACTAGTGGATACAAAAAAGACTGTTGATTTACGGTTGATGTCGAGTTTGCTCGCGTACTTTGTAATTTTAAGGTTAGCGCTTAAGGCCGAATACGACGCGATTGACCTTGCTCGTTTCGCAGCAAACCACGCGCTTTCAACGAACATCACGTGTGTTACCCGTACGCTTTGTTTATATAGACATGTATAATATAATCAAAGTCGTACGAGCTTTGATTATATTATATTTGACTGAACTAGCTCAGTATGCAGAGTAATGAAAACACAGAGAGCATTACTTACTTCTTAAATAAATCTTTCTTATTTATAATGTTAGTTCCTATACATTATAAATTCTGTACTTTATTCGTTATAAAATATTGTTCGAAAAGTTATTGAATTGATATCGATTTTTTTACTTAATTGGTGCATCGTACGTAAAGAACCTCATGTAACTGAAAATGTTTGTTTATGTGAGTCTTACAAAACGCCGTAATGCAAATTGCATAAATATTAAAGAAAAAAAAATTAAAAGTTCGTGATTGACCCATAGTGGGGACAGGGACTGTGTATGTAAATTCTCATTGACTACTCCGACTGGTCAATCACTTCACATCCGAAGTATTTCGGTTTTTCTTAATTATGTACTTACCCCATGCTTTCGGACAATACATTGACTATGACATTATTTGCGGTCTCTGTGCTTGCACTACTCTGTACATTATTTTCCGATTAGGTCTTGATATTCACATTTTAGTGTTTCTCACTTGAAACTAGAAAAGTACAAATGATCCGTTTGGCTAATGTAAATGAGTAAAAATGCAGCCTATTAGGCAGCCTCAAACAAAAAATTACCTTACAAAAAATATAAGTAACCTCAAAATACAACATTCGAGCAGCGTTCATGCGATAAACTCTCTTTGTTTTACCACTTAGGTAACATTTATTTCTTTTCTTACCCATATTCACATTTATAGTCACTTAAACGCGTATAAAACACTAAATTAACGATTTTCGCTATAGACACAATGACTGTTGTCACCTTACGTCACACGTCGAAGTGCCTGGTAATTTATTACGGCAAACTTTTATCTGGCAATATACGATATTATTATTAGGTGTTTTAATTAAAACAAATTATGTTAATAAATAATATTTTGTATCGAAAATAAAGACGGCAGGCATCTTCGGAATCACAATACATACATTTTTACGTAAAAGAATTTTTCCTAAATTAAAATTCACAGAGTTTTGGAAGAATAATCATTTTTAAATATCATTTCGTATATTCATTTATTTTAAAATTTTAAAACTGCGGGCACCTTGTGAAGGAACCGAATAAACCTACAAAAAATGTTTTAACGCTTAGAATTACTTCAGGTCAAAGTTGTAGTGAAGAGAAATACATTAAATTTCGCCAGTTCTCTTCGTATTCGGCCTTAAGTCAGCGCCATCGCTGCTCATAAAAAACGTTGGCGAAATATTCATACGATTTAATATCGTCTATAATTGAAAAATAAATTTTGTATCAGTATGTATTGTCAGTCATCAGAAATAAAATAACCAACTTCCAAAAAAAAACTTTTAATAGGTATTATTATTATGATCATTTGTTGTTGTCTGGCTGTATCAAATAAAGCGCGATAAGGCTCCTAGTTACTTTTGTTTTGACGAATTTAAAGGAAGTCGTGAGTTCATTGAGGATAAGATAAATTACATAAACACCAAACTCAAC